CATAAAATATTGATTTTCTGGCTTTTTATTCGTTTCGTTTTCTATTTCTTCTTGTTTGAATGAGGTAGAGTGCCCATTATTTTTTAGGTGACTGTTAATCCTTTCAATGTCACTAATAATAGACTGATTGGCTGTTTGGAGGTGCTTAACTTCTATTTTAAGAACATTAATCTCCATTTTTAAATCTTGGATAGTCACTGGTTTTTCAATAGTAGATGAAGATTGAATCCTATGTAAAACATCTTTCATACTATAAGAATCTACTGGTATTATTGGTGATTCTTTGATAGCATGCTGGTGTTGATGGAAAATTTCTAAAAATTTAATTTTCATTTTGGGATCTTTGATTTGGTCTGCAAGGTCTGACATGGATTTCTGGTCATCAGCTAGAACATGAATGCTAGGGCCTCCAAGGTCTAAGCCATTCATTTCAACAATAGATTTCCAATAATTAATTTCAGAAATTTGGTTCAAGTTTGTGGAACAGGAACAAGTTGGTTCTGTTTCTTCAACTTCCTCACTAGAAGTTGATGGGGAGTGAAGTTCAGCAAGTCCATCAGACTTAGATCTAGTTTTAGATTCTTCTTCTTCCTCAAGTGTTTGAAGTATCTGTTGAACAATATGAGGATCCAAAGATAGTTCATTAATTTTGTTTTTTTAATTTGAATCTACATCTATTAGCATAATGTCCTGTTGCTCCACATTTATAGGATTGAACATCTTTTTTAGATGTTCTCTTTGTGGTTTTAGGCTTTCGGTTAGGAGGAGAAGACTTTTTTCTGATAAAAAGTATAACTAGGTTTTTTAGAATGTTTTCGATATGGTTTTGTAAACTTCTTATGAGATTTTCTGGATTTAGATGGTTATTGGATTTTTGTATCATAGGCAAATTGATCACGAAATTCACCTAATTCTTTCTTTCCGGCAAGATTTTGTTTTTTGAGTGGATGTTGTAATTTAAGGTCATTACATAATGAAAGACCATCATCAATGACGACAGCGATGAGCTGGCCATAAGTATATTGGTCATAGGGTATACTTATACGATCATGGTGATCCCTACGTTTTTTTCGAACTTTTTTAGCAAAAAAGATAGGAAGGCCATCAATGAATTTGGCTTTCCAGTGTTCACTATTAGCATCAAGTCGCTGGACAACTTTAAAAAGGAACACATCTTTGTACCATCTAAAACGGGCTAAAGATGGACAACGTAAATTCTGGAAGAGTTCACAACTGCGGTCATTACTATCCGAACTGGGTCCAATGAAATGAAGGATAATAGTCTGAACTAAAGTATAAACGGCATCCTCTTTCTATGTAGAAGCATTACTAACATGATCATATTCAATTTTAGTGGTTGTTACAATTTCATTCTGTTGACTCTGGGTGATAATATTATCCCACCATCCTTTTAAGATGCCTGTAAATCCATTTATAATAAAATGGACAATTTGATGATCTGTATTACTATTCTATTTACAGACTGTAGTGTACATAATCATGTGATGTACGCATTCAAAAATACGGTATTCTGTAGCACCATCTATATTTCATTCATAAATGGTCTTTCCATGGTAAGAATTCTGGGCTTGGAAATATCCTTCTTCATAAAGAATATCCTGAGGGGTAGGTCTGTGGTAATAATACCGACTAGATCCTGGTTGAACATTTCAACTGATTTCTTTAGAAAAGTTGACCCTTTTTACAGATTGAACATCCTGAAAATTACTTTGTAATTCCTGAATTAAAGAAGGAGTGATTTCGTCACTATAATCTTCTTGTATATCGTTCTATTGAGGAATAGATATCATATGAATAGAGCTACTACTTTCTGGAGGTGATCCTCTGCCTAGATTCAAAGAAAACACTTTCTTTAAAAGAGTTTCCATGAATTCATTATTCTGTTTGTCAGAACGTAACTTAAAATTAGTTACTACTAAAGGTGGTTTTATATTAACAGGTTGGATTGCAGATTCTGTTGGTACTAATTGTTTATCTTTAAAATGTACAATTGATTCTTCAATTTGGGTTAATTGCTGACCGACTGTTTGAAATATGGATTAGCATAATTATTCTGTTTCATAACTGGTACCTAATCTTTTAGTTGAACTACATCTCTTTGAGATGCTCTGGATGGAATTTCTACATATGTTGTTGTTAATAGGGGTTGTAGAGTACTATCACCATTTGCAGCTAACTCTAATGATTGTGGTGGCGGATGTATAGATAGAATCATTTGTCCATTAACAGTTGTCCATGTTTTTTGAATATTGGTTAAAACATTTATTTGCTGTTTAGGAAATATTTCCATAACGGTAACAAATTCATAATACCATTCAGGGAAAGATGTTAAAATTGGTATTTTTCTAAATGGTAATAATACTGGTTTTTAAAATATTGAAGTTGTTGATCATTATGGTTTTTAAAATACCAATATCTAAATTCCTAGTACTTATTTAGCTTAAATTCCTGGTTTAATTTCTTTCTTATTTCACTTCCTAGAGAATGATCCATTAAATTTCAAAATTCATGTCACTAGCTGTTGGACTCTCAGGTCTTCTGGTTTCATAAATACCATGAGGTATTTGATTTTCTGATAATTGAACTCCCTGAATTACTAGATCTACAGAAGGATCACTAGGAGGCCTACTAGGAGGTCTAAAAGTCATTCCTTGCATCACAAACTCAACAGATTCTAAAATAGATTGTCTGGATGATTCTGGTAAATGTACTCTATAAGGGGGAGTAGATCTAAAACTTATACTGGACATGCTTCTTGTAAGTGGTCTTCGGAAATTGAGATAAACATTACCTCCTCGAGTTTGGATAACCTGATCAATAGTTCGTCTAATAATTGGTCTGGCTGGTACGACATTAGGAATATGCCACGATTCTGGAAAGGTAATATTTTGCCAAGGGATCATTGTTGGAACAGCTACCTAGCTACGAAACAAGTTGGTGTCTATCGATACTATTTGTCCTGATTCACTTTGTTGTTGGATGTACGGATTTAAGGTAGTAAGAACCTTAAGATGTATTCGAAAAATAACTGTTAAAGGAGGTGTTCCTGCCATGTACTTATAACCATAGGTAAGAACTCTAAGTTCTAAGACTTCTGATAGATTCAGATCCATGAGTGCAACACTCAAATTTGGATAAACGTTAAAATAGACTGGTCCATGGGATAAACTAGTTTCAATTGCTCCCATAAGAGAAGCTTTCCAACCAAGACATCTTCCATCACGAAGAGTACACTGGATACTGGTATTTTGACCTAACAAAGTCAAAGGTTTGAAGGCTATCTGGACAAGTCCTATATGAATATATTATATTTTTTGAAAAAAGGTGCAAGATCCTGAATATGAAGTAATTTAATTATTTCATCATTGTCCTGTAAAGGCATTGCATGCTCAAAAGTTTTAATTGTCTTTCTACTGGTGAAATCGAATGTTCCAATTTTATAAATTGTATTTGGTTTGACATTAGGAATTGTCCATTTGTCTAATGCATCCTCGACATCCTGGTATGCTACAAGTTATGTTGCTTCTAATGTTGAAGCTACTGTATTAGCTACTGTTGCCATGGGTGCTTCTTTTGCCATTAGTTGTATGTGACCATATATGAATAATTTAATTATTATATAACTGTATTACACCAATGTGTAAACTTGGCTCGATACCAACATAAAGTGCTCGAAACAGGGTTAAGGCCAAGCACGTCTGTCAACGGTTTACTAGGGCACAAACCTAAATGCAATCTCTGCAAAGATGGTCTCTAAACCTAAACACGACTTGGGTGATGTCCCACTCAACCTTACTCTATTCTACCCTTATTTAGCACAAACCCAAGAATATAAATTAATATAATACAAATATATAATAAACAAATTATGACATATATGGTCTCATAATTTAATGCTGAGGTGGAGGCCTAACGGCGGCCGCCCACACACAAATATGTTCTTCTATTTGCTGTTGGATTCTGTGAAAAAGTTAGAGACAAGAATGAGAAATAGGGAGAAAATCTAAGGGAATTCTAATTCATCCCTTTGGATTATTTGAGAATTGAACACTTGGTTGCTTTATAAAACCTAAAATGAGGTGCTTAAGTTAATATCGTAATGTTCCAATTACACAGTAAATTCTGTTTCTTAAAGGCTAAGCAAGATTAGGTTGAGTTAAACTTGGCCAATTAAGCTAATGAAACAATTAGCGGCCTAAGCTAATTTGTTCGTAGAACAAAAGAGAAAAGGATGGAGAAGGACGAACAAGGTTAGAGAGAAACTGTCTTCTTGAGAGCTAGAATAGAAAAAAGAATGAGAAATAAGAAGAAAATCAAGGGGAATTCAAATTCATACTTTTGGATTTGAGAATTGAACACATAGATGATTTAGAAAACCTAAAATTAGGTGCTTAAGTTAAACAGATATCGTTAAGCTACAATTACTCTATAAAAAAAAATTCTTAGAGACTAAGTAAGATTAGTTTGAGTAAACTTGGCCAATTAAGCTAATGAAACAATTAATGGCCGAAGCAAGGTTTGTTAAAATGAGTTCTAGAAATGGGTTAGAGAGAGAAACTCTGACATCTCTCTAGAAAACTCTTGTTTTCTAGGGTTTCAATATCTCATTGATTACATGATGCCAGCAGTTATTGCTAATAACCAAACACTTAATGGGAATGTAGTGGTGAGATCGATTATGGATAGTAGCGTGGAAGTTAAAAATCCCCAAATCGTAGAATCACGATTAGGGGTTAGATAGTCGAGTTTATGAAACATAGAGTGAGTTAACGATGAGCGATACTGGAGATATTGGTTATAGTTCAAACCATAACCCTTTAACGGGTAACAATGCTGATAGCTTGGTTGAAATCGACAACCAATCGTTGGATCTTCAAAGGATAGCCGATCGTCTTCAGAGGTTGAGAGATCCAGATTCGGTTGGTGTAGCCCCAAAATCACTAGTTGCATCACCTCTTAACCCCTGATGGGCTGAAGTTATGGAGGATGAAGAGCTATCCTTCAGGAATATCCCTGATAGCTTGGAGGTGTCGAGAATCAAGGCCGATGGAAAGATGCGTGATGCTTTAACTCTTCGATTGGATCCATCACTTAATCCAGAAGGTCAGAATCTAGACAGCGATCCAGAAAACCTAATCGAGGATGACTATAATGAATCTCACAGTCGAGGGGAGGGGGAATAGCTATAGAGGCGATTGAGGAGGTAGGGGTCAATGAGGAGACCGAAGTCAAGGCAGGGCTTCCGAACCCAAGAAATGTTGGGATGATGTTGCTGCAACTACTAATCGTTCGTGTATACCGTTAAGGTACATTCCTTCTAAAGTTAACAATGATTTTGTCAGTGTTATCCTTCCACCAAGGCCTAACCCGTTGGAAAAATGGGACTCGTGTTTAGTAGGGTACTTCATTGATAAGGGTGTTGCTTTCAACTATATAAGGAACAGTGCTTTTAGTTTATGGAAAAACAAAGGGCATAAGGAAGTTCTTACAAACGAGGAGGGGTTCATATTTTTCATCTTTGAAAGCCCTAACTACTGCAGTGAGGTCCTTGAAGGGGGGCCGTCGTATATAGGGGGTTTCCATCTTATCCTTAAGAAATGGAGTCGGATGATGAGACTAACTAAAGATAAAATCCAAAAAGTCCCAGTTTGGGTTAAGTTCTTTAATGTCTCGATGGAATATTGGGATAGTGATGGCTTGAGTAGGATAGCAAGTGCAGTTGGAGTTCCCTTATTCATGGATCATCTCACCAATAAGGGAACAAGAGTCTCTTTTGCTATAATCTGTGTGGAATTGGATGCTAGCGCCAAAGAACCTCCTTCTTTCCCAATCTATTGTGGGGAAGATCAAGTGATTGCGAAGGTGGAGTATCAGGGGCTTCCGGTTAAGTGTGAGCACTGTTTGGTTTTTGGGCACGATACAACTAAGTGTGTTACTACCCAAGTAGCAAAGTTGGTTAATCTCCAAAAAGAGACTGAGAACAATTCGAATCCTAGGTGGAGCATTGTAAAATCAAAAGTAAAAGAAAAGTGGGAGAACTAGATCCTATAGAGGAAGAAATGGATGGGGGTATGGCTAGAAATGTATCAGATGGGGAAGTTCAAATTTCAACAGATGAGAATATTTTCCAGGCTCCATCAAAGACTAACAAATCTGATATCCTGGTTACTGGTACAACTATGGGCAACCAACATGCTATTATTGCAGATGCAGTCAACACTAATAGCACCATGCCTCCTAGCACAGATGGTTTAGTAGGTATTCAGAAAGAACTAGTAGATATTGCTATGTTAGCTCTTCCTGGGGATACGAAAGTTTTGGAGAAAGTGAAGAATCTGTCTATTTTTGAGGAGAGCACACCAGTTACTCCTGGCACTCATCCTGCAAGTTCCACTACCAGAAAATCCTCTGGCAAGGGTAAAAGCCAGAGGAAGAAAAACAGGTAATCTCTATTTCTTTTTGGGTTAAGAGTCTTCTTTTTGTTCTCCCAATGTCTTTGTTTCCTACATTCTTTGTTGAGATTGAGTGCCCATGTGTGGGTTGAGTGTGTGAGATTATACAAAGTGAGATTTGTTATAGGACTGAGCTATGGTTACTTACATACTGTTATGGTCTTTTCTTGTTTGGTTTCACCAAGAAATATTGAAGTGCTCTTTGGGGAAAAGTTTGAGGCTGCTAAATTGGAACACATCTTGGATGACATTATGGATGCCAGGCTGCAAAGTTGTGCCAGCTTTTGTGATGTCTCTCAGAGAAGGAAATTTGTGTCTTTAAATTCTGCGGGTCTTGTAAATAGTTGTACCTTTTTGGGATCATGTTTTAATTTTTTGTTTGTCACCTATCCCTTGCGGGTTGTGCTTGGGGAATGCTCTAATCCGATCTATGCGTTGCTGATGCTGTTACGCTTACATACATGAGCATTTTGGAATTCTGCTAGGCTGTTGCCATTTTATGCTGCTTTGTCATTTTCTGGTTGTAGCTAGGTTTAGTTTTGGACTCCATATCTGTTTTATATGTTTGTTTTGTTTCTTGTTGTTCAGGCTCCCTCTTTATTCGTAGATATGAATGTTGAATAGGATGTAGTTTAGTCTTTTTATCTTGGGTGTCTTTGGCTTGTATGCGTTGCTATTTGTTTTTTTTTTGTTTTTGTTTTTTGGGTGAGTAAGTCATAAATTAAAGACAATGAAATTTACAAGTTTACAAGGGGCATACCCCCAGGCACGCCCAACAACAATAAATAAACAATTACGAAACCAACATAAAACTACAGCTACGTCCCCCCCAAAAGGGCGGAGAAATATAACCCAATCCCAGAAAAGCAGGAGAATAAACAAAAATCCTTTTTACCCATATATCCTTTTTGTCCCCAAGTACCCTATCATCAGAAAATAATAGATGGAAACTTGGGGTGGATATATGGGCAAAGATACAAACAGATACCACAAAGCTAATAAACACAACAGACATACTTACAAAGCAACAACCCATAAGCAAAATAAAAAGATAACCTCTCCCACATACCCCCAGTCTCTACCACAAATAAAACACATGGAATCCAATAAGCATCCCACTCCTCACTGCTGTGACATCCTAGCCACTAACCAAAGCAGTGGCAGAGGAAAAAAAATCCATCCCATGAGAGCTCTGGACAGAGTCACATGAAGCAAGCCAGATCGGTCACCATAATCCACGGTCTTGGGAGTTGTAGCGTAGAACGATAGCCCCCTAGCAACAAACCAATACATAGCCAAAAATAGCATGAGAGTAATCATCACATCCCCCTAGCATTTGTTGTTGTTTGTCTTCCCTTGTTTAGTGGGTAGGGCCTGGGGCGTGCCCCTTGTATCCTTGTAATTCTCTTGCTTTTATTTATTACTTATTCACCCAAAAAAAAGATAACTGGTTCCTTTCTCAATGGAACCTTCCAAACTCCATACTGAAGCCCCATTTTCACAGAAATGGGAGGGCTACTTAGTGATGTAAGTTCCTAAATGGGAGAGTTGAGTGATAGTGAGAATGATAATGAGTGTTTATCTAATTATTTGATGTTTGTGTAGGTGTGTTCTCATGAAGCATTATATTATTTGTGGGTTGAGTGTGGTGAGCCATAAAGTTACTAATTCTTTATCCACTACGACAGAATGGTTATGTGGGTTGAGTGAAATTAGTCTCTACATGTTTTTTGTGCTAACCATTATATATATGGTACCTCTTTATGTACAGGTTAAGGAAGCAATTTTCGAGTGTGGTGAGGTCCTATATTGTGGGTTGAGGGATGTGAGCTCACATAATGTGTGTATCACCCACATTTTCTTGGGTATTTTGTGTCCCACTGATAATGGTTTCTATCTCTTTATGTTCTCTTGGCGTCCTTTTATATTGTCTAGGAAATGTGTGTCAACAATGCTCAACCAGGGACTGCAATTCTGAGTTGTTGGTGCCGATGGTAATTTCAATGTTGTCAAGTGTGGAAATCTGGTCTATGGGAATGGATGCTAGATGTGCCTTCTGGATATATCAGAATCTTCAAAAGCAGTCTTTTATTATATTTTCAATCTATATCTACTATGACTACATATATGTTTTGCCTACCCTAGTGGGATGTACTAGGGATTATGTTTTGTTACTTTTAGCTACAAAGACTATGCTGGTTCAGACTAGTTTCTTGAGGGTGCGCATGGTTTCTTTTCCAACGTGCGTTTGGATTGTTACATTTTGTGTGGGTTTATTGCTTCAAGAGTATGCTGGTTCAGACTTTTCTGTCTTTGCTTCGTGGGGTTTTTTTTTGTTTTGTTTTGTTTTGTTTTGTTTTGTCTCCCATGCTGGGTTTTTTGATAGTTTGCCTTGATGTTGTTCATATTCTATTTCTCCCTTGATATAGGTTCTGAACAATGTGCGTCCAGGTTGTTATTGGTTGTTGTTTGTTTTTAGTTTTGTTTCTCTATCGTGTATAGCTGATATAGGGCCTAGGGCAGGCCCCTTGTAATCTTGTATATTTTCTTGTTTTATTTTTGTCTTATTCACCCAAAAAAAAAAAACAATTAATGGCCTAAGCTAAATTTGTTCCTAGAACAAAAGGGATAAGGATAGAGAAGGATGGAGAAAGTTAGAGGGAAACTTTCTTCTTTAGAGCTAGAGGAGAAAAAAAGAATGAGAAATATGAAGAAAATCAAAGAGAATTCAAATTCATTTTTTTGGATTTTAGAATTGAACACGTAGTTAACTTAGGAAACTTTCTTCTTGAGCGCTGGAATAGAAAAAAGAATGAGAAATAGGAAGAATATATTTGAGAATCAAAATTCAACCTTTTGGATTTGAGAATTGAACACTTAGTCGATTTAGAAAACCTAAAATAAGGTGCTTAAGTTAAACTAAAATCGTTAAGCTATAATTACACAGTAAATTCTTTTTCTTAGAGGCTTCGCAGGATTAGTTTGAGTTAAACTTGGCCAATTAAGCTAATGAAAAAATTAGTGGCCTAAGTAAATTAGTTCCTAGAATAAAAGAGAGAAGAAATGAGAAGGACAGAGAAGGTTAGAAAGAAACTTTCTTCTTGAGAGCTGTGGGGCCGAGAAGAGGGAGTCGTAGAGATTCCGGATAGTCGAATCTTGGAGAGTCGAGATTCAAAGCACTCGGCAATTGGCTCGTAAGCTCAAATCCAACCCTATTCAGCCAAATAACCGATTAGACAAGGGGCCGAGTGAAGGTCGGTCTATTAGAAAATGTGCTGAATATGAGTTGGAAATGAACCTAATCCCGAGGCCCATGGAAGAAAAGATATAAATAGAAGAACATCAGTGAGAAAGAGGTATGTGAGAATTGTTGTGCTTAACTTAGAATACAAGCATTCTTGAGTGTGGATTCTAACTTGTCTGTCGGAGTGCTAATTTCGACACCCCCTACTGGAGTGTTTATTCCTTTTCTGGTGACCAGAAGAGGATCACGAGCGTTCTCCAAGATCAGAAGAGTATTTCCAAACCACTTCTCCACAATTGGCGCCGTCTGTGGGAATACTCAAATATATCCATGGCAGGCGTAACAGAAGATCCTCCAATAGTCACAGATGAAACCACTCAAAGAGACGACCTCACTCTAACAAACATGCTTGGACCGGAGACTATCGCCGCGAGACGTGCCTTGAACTTTGCCTCACCCTCGACTTCAAAACATGAGACAATGTAGGCGATCATGGAACAAGAAAAGCAAAATGAACAGAGGTTGCAGAACATGATCGCTGAAAACGAACGTCTCCGTGAAGATTTGGCCTTGGAAGTGGCGAAGTCCAAACAAGCTGTATGCCTAAATCCGGAACGATCTCCGAAAGCAGGTGGTCGATGACCTCGAGCCCGACAAGACAACACCGATAGCGGCTCCGGCTCGTTATCCCCGGAGCCCAGGAAGAAGGGACGACATGATACCACCAGTTCTTCCGAAGAAAGTCCCCATACAATGCACCAGCAAAAAAGGAATAGCTCGGACGAAGATCAACCCAATGCCTTCGTACGACGGATTGCAAAGGCTACGCTACCCAAGAAATTCAAAGTACCGTCGTTCACCTTGTACGACAACAAATTAGACCCCACCGACCATATCCGCCACTACAAGCAGGCCATGACATTGCATACAGACGACGAGGCCCTCATGTGCCAAATATTTCCTAGCAGTTTGGGACCATTGGCGGTCAGGTGGTATTATAAACTGGAGCCAACTTCGATCAAAACCTTCCACCAACTACAGAAATCCTTTAGGGCCAGATTCATCACCAACGAGGTCCAGCCGAAGCAAGCCGACTCTCTCTGGGCAATGCAAATCCTGCCAGGAGAAACATTAAGAGCATATTCGGCGCGATATTGGGAATGCTTTAATCTTGTTCATGACGCTTGCAATGACTCCATGGCCATCACCACCTTCAAAATGAGATTACATCCAGATAGTGCCCTCCGCAGTTCCTTGACTAGAAGACCCCCCAAAACAGTGTGGGGGTTGATGAAGAAAGTAGAGGAATACTACAAAGTGGAAGATGACGCCTTGCGAGTTAAAGC